TCGGAGCAAATGTAGCTGGCACCGCCGTAATCGTGGTTGCCTAGCACGTTGACGAAGGGAATTCCAGCCAAATTCTCGCCGTCGAACTTGCCTTCAAACGTGGTCGCGAAACGGGAGTCACGGCCATCTATACTGTTGATACCTGTCCAGTAAAAATTGTCACCGTGACTGAGAATGGCCTTGGGCTTGACGTCAGTTTCACCTGCCTGTGTGTTCATAAGGCTGGACACAACATCCTCGGCAACAACGTCGAAGTTATTGAATGTTTTGGAGCGTGTGCAACAAGAGTCTTTGGTCACAGTTGTGCCCCAATCTCCAATGGCAAAAGCTGCAACTGAGTATATTACTGATAAAAATAATGGAAAATCCATTGTCAGTACTGTATTTGCAACAATCGATGCAACGGGAAAAAAAGGAATGAAGGTCATACCTGAGGTTGGGTCTGAGGTAACAGTGGCCGTGACGGAGTTGCTGCCCGTTGATGAATTGGACGATTTTTTGCTGGTGGACGAGCTAGTTCCACCAGTGCCACCGCTGGAAGTTGAGTCGTTCGAGTTGGCCGATTCCTCGGAAGACGTTGAAGACGAGTCCGACTTGGTGGCTACGAGTACGCCCACGATGGCACCTACCACGGCGCAGAGCACCACGATACCGATGATGGTGAGGCGTTTATTGACTGCCATTTGCGTTGCCACACTTTTGCCAAAGAGTGAAAAGTCTCTTGTCCACTCGAAGCGAATTTGAAGAGTGCCGATTCCAGGTTGACCCACGGAATGGAAAAACCTCGGAAGTGAAAAACCTTGAGCACAAGATATCTGATTTTTTTACAATCCCGTAGCTAATAATATGCCTCCCATGAAGAATGTCAGCTCACTTATTCGAAAGACGACACGCAAAACAAAAACACTCTTTGTAAGCATATTTGATCCTCGTTGAGAGGACCATCTGTCACCATACTAAAAACGTGTCGCACTTTGCATGGACAAGCCCTGCCGGACCAGCTTTCGACCAGCACGAAAGTTTTCGCTCTTCCCACAGCATCATGCAAGTCAATGCGCTATTCCGCGAGCAGGGTCTGCCACGCGCGAGAAAATCGCACGGGCAGTGGCAATTTGATTCTACAGATTTTCTTCTAAACATTGTTCAGCGTCGTTGAAACCCTCGATTAACAGCCCCCTCGCCTTAATCTGCGATATTAAATAGCGTTGGAATTCCTCAACACATGGCATGAAAAGCGTGCGGCATGCCCAACAGATCCATCGGCAACGCGAAAGCCTCACTGAATAGTTTACCATGAAGCCTCACACTCGATTCTTGCGTGAGGGACTTTCCATCACAAGCGCCAGGTCGACATGGTCTCTGCTGAACAAGCAAGAACCCAGGTTAACTTCGATAACTCAACTATGAGTAAATGGGACTTGAAGTGTCGACGCTCACAAATGTTGAGCTGCACCGCATCGAAACCAAAAATGTTACAGCGATATCCGTCAAGTGTGGCAAATATCACTAATAACGGAGAGGAACATTTCGGAGCAAACTCATTGTTTCATCAAAGTAGATTTTACGACATCGCGATATACATGTAAACTTAGTACAATAGTTGCCGACTCGGCCACAGTGTTCTTAACACTCTTTGCCTTCGCCACCATCAAGAGGGATGTACCAGCAGTGCTTGGTCGCCACACCACCAGCCTTCGTCGACTTGAAGCTCTCCGCGAACGTCCACGAATCATCCGCCGTATGGTACTGCAGCTTCAGCCATTTCCT